ATAGTATGTGTAGATGCACGTAGTGTCTACTCTCTCTCCCTCAGGGGCTTCTTAGCAGGATGTTCAACTCATTGCCCTTTGATCCAGAGAGATCAGATAGCAATACAATGGCACCACTGGCCTGCCAGCCTGGACTCCAGGCTCTACCACTTGTTGCCTGGCTTGTGGATGGTCATGGCATCAGTCTGCGCTTCAGCTTTCTGACATGCAAAATGGTGCTAATAAGGCCATCCCTTTGCAAGACATTAGTGGTGGACTGTGTATTTAAGAACTGTCCCTATGGGGTTCCAGACAAAGGCCACTATCTGAGAGTGTGGTGGTGAGCAAGTATCCAGGCACAGCACCTCTCCCCTGAAGGCACCTTTGCTAAGTCAGCTCAGCCTTGTGTGCATCATTCACTTGGTAATTTGTTGCATCACTATTTACATTTCCATGGGTTTCTGCACCCCATTTTGGAGCCGTGACCCAGAAACAGGCCTGAGGACAACACTTAGGAGGAGGCAGGCCCTGGTTTGCCAGCTACGCTGGAAGTGAAAGGCCTCGGGGGTGTGGCTGGGATTTTCACTCTGGAGCTGGCATTGCTCCCCTTGGAGGTTCTGGTCTGGCCTAGCCAGCTCTTCCATGCAGACAGCACAGCTCCCAGGAGGCAGTGATAGCCCCTGCTGCTTTTCACAGAAGATTACTGGCCACAGAGGCCCACAGAGAAGGAACCACATTCCTCAGTTGCAGCTGAGGCCAGTCTGTGCCCAACCAGCACAAAAGGCACTTGTCCTATTGCACTCAGCCTGGCCATGCTGCTGTGGGGCCCTACTGGAAGGGCCTGGTGGCTACCTGGGGCCTTGGACTCTATTCTGTACCTGGGAAGGACAAATCAAGCACTCTGGGTCCCTGCATCTCCCAAAGGCTCTCTATAGAGCCAGTCACCAGAGCACATGAGGCAGAGGCAAGTCCCTGCACTCAAGTAGCCAACAAGTCAGATCTAGGAAAGCAGAATGGGGCCAGCGTGGGAATCTGGACTATGGCCCAAATGTGAGCCAGAGACTTAGAAACCCAAAGGCAAAGGCCAAGCCCCCCAGCTTAGTGTATTTTTAAAACTCCATGTGTTTAAAGGCAGGCTTGGCAGGGGAGCAGGTTGCATACTGAGCTGCCTGCTTGGGTAGGAGAGTCCTCTGCAGCCAGTGAGTTGCTGGGCTACAGGGGCCTTGGGCTTCCCCACTGTCCCCCAGCTAGCCCACATAGATATAGCCTCCTGTCAGCTGTGCCCAGGATAGGAGATGGGGGTAGGAGGGTGAGGGGGGGGAGTGAAGGCCATCAGAGGTACAGAGGATGACAAAGAATGCCTGCTTGAGGTGTCTGCGCTGCTGCGGTGCAGCTATCCCACACCTGGTGGCCTGAGCTCAACCAGTTGAGGAAGCACCTGGAGTAGGGAGATGATGAGCCTTTGAATCGGACACCTAGCACAAACAGCCCTGTTTCAGGGACCATCACAGCCCTCAGCCAACTCCCCTACCCACTTGGAGGGGAAGGGGGGAGGTCAGAAGCTCTGGGAGCCCCCAGACTCCTGTGTGGGAGCTGGCATGTCCTAGAGGGTGTAGTCTGCTCCTCTGCCAAGTACCAAAATGGAAGGGTGGAGCCCTTCCCAAAATGGAATGGCTGGGCAGGGCTGGGCACCCTTCCCAGGAGTCAGGCCAGGAGTGGGAGTGGTAGCACTGCCACTGCCATGCCCATCCAGAGGGAGGCACAGGGACCAGGGTCATGCATGTACACACTGCAGCCACCATGAGGGAAGGCTTTTGGAGCTGCTGTGACCTACTTTTGCTCCAGCACAGGTTCTGCTGTGTGTGTGTGTCCCAGTGTAAAAGCTTAATAGAGCCAGGCATAAATTATTCATTGCCCAGTCCATGTTAATGCGTGTGATAAAGGTTTTTTAAAAATCTCCTCTATAATTTAAAACCCCACATTGTCCCAGTGCTGGGCCCCAGCCTCTCCCCAGGGGGAGCTTATGCTTCAGTGAGTAAAGCTGAGAGATGTGGCTGGAGCTGGCAGGCAGGAGGGAAGGGAGAGGAGGTGAAGGAGAAACGCATGGCCTAGATCAAAGCAGGGCTTAGGGGAGCAGGTATTTGTAGCAGGAGGGGCCTGAGCGCACATGGGGAGGTAGCAGGAATAGGAACTGAGGAGTGGAGCCAAGGTAAGGAAGGAGTTTTAATGTGGAATTGGCTAAATAGCACTTCCCTGGCACTCAGGTTAGGGACACCACAGTGAATTAAAGCCCTGGAAAGCCAAGGAGATGCCCAAACCCCAGCAGGGCACAGCCTGCTGCTGGGGTTTGGGCAAGCAGAAGAGAGGTAGTATAGGGAAGGGGATCTCCCCCCCCCCTGTCCCATAAGCCAAGGGCCCTGGCACAGATCCCTGTTCTTTGCATCCCTCCCTCCTCCTTCCAACACACTATGGAGGATGCAGCTAAACAGAAGGGCTCAGGCTTTCAACATGAGCCTAGTTGCTGTGGGCCAGGGAGTGCTGTTTTCTCTCCTTAGCTGTTCTTCTCAGCTGCACTCAAACAGAGTGGGGTTGGTGGGGAAGCTGCTCTCAGCCATCTCGGCCTCCTCGAGAGGAAAGCAGGGGTCCCCACGCATGGGTGTAGCGGCTCAGGCTGCCCGCAGCCCTGCTTGGAGGAGTGACGTCAGTGCAAGTCAATTCCCAGGGACAAGGGCCAGAAGGCCTATTTTTAGCACTGACTTTAACCCCCCCCCCCCTTTTTTTTTTTCTTAATTAAGAAGCCCTGCTCTGCCCTCACCACTGGCTCCTGCTCTGGGGAGAAGGAACAAACAAGCCCAAGGAGCGGGAATCTCTGCAGCCAGGAGCAAAGACATTGCCAGGCAGATCTGATCCTGGCAGGGATCTCACAACCCTGTGGGAAACAAGGGGGAGGGAGGACCACCACAGCTAGGGCAGCAGAGCCGAACCAAGCCCCTGCCAGGCCACGCAAGAGGCAGTTGAGGAGCAGTACCATGAGTTAACCAAGCCTCAGATTGGAAGACTCCCCCTCCAAGCTTCCCATCCCACCATCAGGCACCCCTCTTGCCTCATGAGAGCAGTCACAAGAGCTTCCAGCTCCTGGGTGTTTAGGCTCTATTAGGGTTAGTCACAACCAGGTGCAGAACAGCAAGCAAAGCCAACCACATCTAGGTGCAGTGTAACCAAGCAGCAAGAGTGAACGGTGGCTTTTGTATGTGTTCACACATTCTGGTAGGACACATGCCACTCTGAAGGGAAATACAGCAGCACTTACAATCAAGCTGGCAATGACATGGCCTACCTCTGCTCCCAGCTACCCCATTGCCACTCCAGGTTACATTCCCTAGAAACACCACCTTTCAGTGCAACCCTGACTGAGGGCACAGCCTTGTCACACTGCAGCAAGTACATACTAGGCAGTTGTCTAGCAGTAGGGTCTGCTCCCTTTGCAAGAACAGCATCCAGCTGCGTGGTTGTTTCAACATGCCTGCTTATGTTGGCATCGCTTATTCATAGCAACAGACTTCATTCTGGAGATCTGAGCAAAGCTCCGCTAGAAAATGGACAGAGTCTGTTACAGCAGCCCCTACTCCCACACAGGCAGGAGAGGGAGGCGATACTGAAGCTAGCCTAGACATCAAGGGATGCCATAGATCAGAAGTCTACCTTTTCCTGTCTTGCAAGGCCAAAAAGCACATAAGATAAAGGGGAAAACAAACACAGGCCATAGCAAATGAATAGCAACCTCAGTAGTGTCCCTACCCCCTCCTTACATCAGGGATGATGTTAGGGAGTAAGGGGGTTGGGAAGGAGACAACAGACCCCTTTAGGAAGGCAAGCCATTGTGTCAGCCACATAGCTAGTGGGGAAGGTGAGTAAGTGTGGCCTATTTCCTTACCTGGTCAGGGAGCCAAGGCAGGCTAGTCTCCCCGGCAGAGGAAGGGTGCCCAGCTCTTTGAGCACTGTGGGACATGAAGTCCCTTCGGCAGCAGGACTGCTATAGCATTTAAGCTCTTAGCCAGATCCTGGCTTAGTCTTAATAAGAACATGGCCTAAGCTGCTGTTAGTACAAGCAGCCCTGGAAAAGGGTAACAGGGACAAGTCAGATGGGGGGGAAAGGTTACTAGGGGCAGAGCCTATGGGACTGAACATGGAAGACTGGCTCAGCTGTCAGGCTAAAGCAGCCCAGTATTGTTCATGCCAGGGCAGCAGTCCTGGCTGCTCTCCCACTGCCTTTGCTTCTGGAGCACTCTGTACTTGTAGGGCAGAGGACAACAGTGCTGCCCACTAAGCCAGTCTGCTCCCAGCTGCAGGCTGGGAAGAGCTCTGCTGCAATCTTGAGAGAGAAAGCAGTGGAGGATATTTTCCTTCTATGGAGATCTCTCCTGTCCCCACTCAGCCTTCCAGAGCA